GGGCCCATTCCTGTCTCCCTTCCTACACAAAGGCTGGCAGTGGACACTCCACTCCAGGGGAGACCATAGCTGGGAAGGAGGCCAACCGTTCTGGGGTCCTCATCTCTCTCTGCAGTGTCTCGTCATGTCCCCCAGAGGGCCTCCAGGATGTGGGGGCCCCTAGAATATGTGGATGAAGCACCCACCAGGGAGTGTGGGAGGGTCCACTGTTTATGCCCTTCTGACCTTGGGCAAGTCACGGGCCCTCCCTGGCCCCAGGTTTGCCTCTGCAGTTTGGAGCCGATCCTCCCCTGCGCTTGCTGCCCTTTGCCCACAGTGTGTGTGTCGGGGAGTTTGGGGGATGTAGAAATTGCTGTGCTGACACAGGGCCTTGATGTACTCTCCTGCCCTCCTTTAGGGACCACAAACTAGACTGTCCGAAGAGTGGACACTCAGCTCGAGACCCTCATGTCCCCCTTGTGATCCCAGGCTTTAGAGGGGATGGTGGGCCCCAGATTCCATATCCCACGTGAGCCCTGTTATTATACACTCCTACTGACTAATTCTTAGGAAAATCAGATTTTTGGGTCCCCCGCAAGAGCTAAAAGAGATCAAGTTCAACGGCTTCATTTCATGAGAGGGAAACTGAGGCTAGGGAGGGGAAGATTAGTCCAAGGCCACAGAGAAGGCTAACGGTGGATCTAAGACTTGAACCCAGCCAGCCTTGAGAATGGACCTGGACATGTCCTTGGACTAGAAATTGGGCCTGGATCTTGATCCTGGACCCTGAGTGTTGACTTGGACCTGATCCTGGACATTGAAACTTGAACCTGTACGTGGATTTGTCCTGAATCTCAGACGGAACCTGCAGCCTCGGACCTAGACCTTGGACCTGGACCTCGGACCTGGTCCCAGACCTAAGGCCGGACGTAGATGTTGGACATGGATGTTGGACTGGATGTTGGACCTGGACCTCTGACATGTCTCTAACCTGGGCCTTGGACCTGAACTAAGAAGGAGATGTCAGGGGAAGTGGTGGTTAAAGAAGACCCAGATGGGGCTGCTGTGTGTCCTAGGGCACCTCTCCAGCCTTCTCTGGGCTCCTTCTGCTGAGGGATTGGGGCAGTCCTTTTGTGTCCCTGCTCCCCAGACGGGCTTTCTGAGGTGTGCGGTGGTTGTGTGGCAGTTGGGGACTTTCAGCTGGGCTCCGGGGCCTGGCCTGAGCGACTCCCCGGCGCCTCAGAGGCAGGGAAAGGAAGCGGGTGCTGGTGTAATTGGTCCACTGAGTAAGCCTACGGGCAGAAGGAGGAGCGCCGCCTCAGCCTGCTGGGAGGCTTAATGTGGCTGCGGAGGGCAGACAGCGGCGTTATTGGATTGGCATTGATCCCTCATCTGCCTGGGTCGGGTGCGCTCTGAAGGAGTGGGGGGCAGGACGGGGGCGGGGGTGCAGAGGACAGCGGACCTGGTGCTCAGCTGGAGTTCGGAGTTAGGGGGTGAGGGGAGGTAGGGACTCCAGGGGCAGTGAAGATGTCCTTGCCGGGGGTCCACGGAGACCACTGCCGTGCAGCTGGGTGAGCAGCAGCCTTCTCCGGGAGGGCTGCGAGGCCCCGGCATCCCCCAGGACAGGGCTGGGGCCTGTGAAGGAGTGGGCGGGCTTGGTGGAGCTGGAGGGCGAGGCGGTTCTGAGAGGGTGAGGAGGATGTGAGTTGGCATCTCACCGAGACTGGATCTGTGCTCAGAGTTACCCGCGGGAGAGGAGGGGAAGGGAAGGCTCCGCGGAGGCAAAACACAGTGGAGGAGCGGGAGGAGCCGGATGGGGAGAAAGGAGGCATTGTACTGGAGAGCAGGGTGAGAGTCCATCTGGTCTCCCTGCTTTGGGGAGCTCTGCAGAGAGACCTGACGCTTCCCCCATTTGGGGGGCTTCCTCTTCCCTATTTAGGGGTTCTGTGGGTTGGGGGGGAGCCTGGAGCCCAGATGCACCTGCTGCGCCCTCTGCCTGGCCCACGGACGCTGAACACGAAGGGAGTATGAAGCAAAGAAGAGCATTGCGCACACGTGTGTGTCTGTGTATGTGTGTGTGTGCTGTGTGTGGAGGTGGAGTCCTCCAGGAATTCTCCAGCTCTCCCCGGCATTCCCTGAGCTGAGGGTACACGTCCTTAGTTTAGGGTCCTGCATCTTCATCAGTTAGGAGCCTGTGGTTCCCCTCCCCACCTCCCCAGATGCCCCTCACACCAGCCTCATCCTGACCCTGCAGCCTTTGCTGCAGGAATGGCTTGTAAGAGGATCTTTCTAATAACTGGAACTATCTCCAGCCCCAGGCCCTCCCTCCTCCCTCCCGCCCATCTCCCCCTCCCTCCCTCCCTCTCCACCCCGCCCCCCTCCTCTCTTTCTCCTTGTTTACCCAGCACACTTACACACGCTGGGAGAGAAAAACGTCGGCTCAGCAATTTTTCACACTTCCCTCAAACGCTCAGCAAGGTTATTTCCGGCAGAGCAGAGACAACGGGCCACTCGGAGCCAGTAGGCTCTCAGAGGACCCCCAGCACCCCTACCCACCGGTGGAGTGAGGGAGCGTTCACTGCCCATCTGGCCACACCCCAGGGATGGGAGAGGCCCCTGGAAACAGGACAAGGCAGACCCTGCGTTTCTTGGCCATACCCAGGCTTGAAGGGTCACCCCCTGTTCTCTGGCGCTGTCTACTGCAGACACTGCCAAGGTGGCCAGGCCAGGGTGCCTGTCCTCACCACGGGGCAGCCTGTAGAGACTGAAGCCAAGAGAAATGCCTGGCCTCAGAAACTCTGCCACCCCCAGCCAGACGTCAAATGGTAAATGTACCCCCACAGAAACCCTGAAAATGGCCTCCTGCCTTCTGTTAGACCTTCATCCAGGCATCTTCAGTGCCTCCCACCTCACACTTGACCTTCACAGAAGCTGAGCTTGTCAAAGTTGGAAGGATACTTAGTTCATGCCACCCAAACTCTCACTGCTGGGGAGGCAGAGGACCAGAGAAGCGAAAGCACTTGCCCAAGGTCACACAGCGAGTCAGAGATCTAGAGCCCAGGCCTCCCGGAGTTCAGAGTTCGAAGCCAGACATCAGCCTATCTGGACAGCCTCAGGATACCCTGGAGGTCAGGGAGCTGCTCTGGAGCCCTTCGGAGAAGGGGCCAAAGACAGGGGTGGTGCTAGGGTATCAAACCTGGTGGAACCTCCACAGGAACACTCTGCTGATGGCTCTGCCCTGTCCCTGCTTCCCCCCATCACTCAGGGGCTCTTTTCAAAGCCTGTTTGGACTGAATTCAAGGCAAGGCACTCCTGCCTCCCTGCTGAGGAACAGCCTGCAGTTTTGGCTGTGCATGAGAAATTCTCTGGGTTTCCTCAGCTGGCCTGGGGACAGGACCAAGGGGACCTCAGGAGTGGGAGCCCAGGGCTTTGTGTCAGTCCCCCAAGGGATCCACATCCCAGTCTTGCAGGAGTTTCAGTTTCTACCCAGCTCCCAGAACATACACCCCCAGCCCTGGCATGGCCCCAAGTCCACCCTCTGTCCTGCCAGCACACAGCCAAGCCTAGCCATGTCCCTGGGCTTCTGTCCTTGACCCTAAGAGGCCCTGGGGTCACAAAAAGAGGACAGTAGAATAAGGGACATGTGGGCAAAGAAAAAGGGGGGTGGTTCTCTTGGGCCTCTGGGGGAGGTCAGGGCCTGAGGGGCTATAGCTGTATACCAGATCACTCTCTAATTTCTTTGACCTTGATGAGGTCACAGAGCCCTTCGCCCAGCGCCCTCTTGCTACCTGGCTTGGCAGAGTAATGGAATGTGGGTGAAGTGCTTGGAAATCCCTGAGGTGGCAGCCCCCACCCTCCTTGGCTCCTGCCTTTGCCATCTTGGCTCCCCCTCATCCTCAGCCCTTTCTTCTCTCCTTTTTCTCTCCTCTCCTATTCCTTCCTCCCTCCCTCCCTCCCTCCCTCCCTCTCTCCCTCTCTCCCTCTCACACACACAAACACACACACACACACACACACTCCCCAAAGCTGATGCCCCATGTGATGTCAGATTTCTTACTGGGAAAGGGACGCCTCCTCTCCAGACACCTGCCCTGATGGGGGCCATCAGAGGAGAACTCTTTTGTGATCCCCTTGATGGGGAATGGAGTCCGCAGAAGCAATCTTTGCTTCTTCTCCACACCCTCCAGAGACCACCCCCTTCTGGGCCTGAGTGACCTCTCTTGTCCCCCAAACCCTTGTACCTGCAGGAACTTGCTCTGAGAAGAGATGGAGTGTGTCCGGGGTGGGGGACTTACAAGGAGCAGCAGGGCTGGCTCTGGAGGGGGTGAGAGGCTGGGAGTGGGGAGGGAGTGCAGCCAGGGGACCGGGAGCCACTCTTGGGGAACCTCTCCTAGAAACCCCTCTTCCTTGCAGTCCCCAGGACGGGCCCAGCCTTTGGCCGGTGTGTGTGGCCAAGGGTAACAAAAGAGTTGCTGAGAGAGGGGGCCTGAGAACACTCGTCTGGCATTGCCAGGGAGAGCAGGATTGAAAGGAAGGAGGGTGCCTCCAGCTACCCCCCGGGAGTGAACCCCATCTCCCCAGGGACTGGTAGTCCAGGCCTGCTTACCTTCCCCACTAGGGCAGCACACTCAGGCAGCCGGCCTCCTTCCCTCAACCAGGGACAGGGCACCCTCAGACTGCCTTGTGCATTAGCCCCCCAGCACTAGCCCTTCATGGGTGTCCCTCTCTCTCCATTCTCTTGCCACCCCTCACTCCAGCACTGTTCTAGGGCCACAACTTTCAAAGTCCGGGCTGGCGCGTGGCTGCGGGATGGGCCCAGCCTGCGACTTTCCCTTTGTACGGACCTAGCCCCTGCCCCGCCCGCCCAGCCCTCGGGAAGCCCTGGAGACGCACACAGCCAGGGAAATCTCCTCCTGGGGTTCCCTGCCGCGCGCACCCCTCCTCGTGGCTCGAGTTGGGGAGGGCCCGAACTCCCCTCCCGGCCTCCCCCCCTCCCCCGCCCCGTGCAAGGTCCCACTCACCGTTGTCCCCCGGCGGCCCCCGGGCACCAGGCAGCACGTAGGCGGTCTCCAAGGAGTGGTAGGTGGGGGCCGGCACCCCGCTGCACTGGAAGCCGTCCCCTTTGATCTTCTTTACCAGGAAGGAGCGCGGCATGGTGCGACTGGCGGGGGGCTCGGCGGGGGCACTTGCGCGGGGCCCCGGTGGGGGGAGGCGGCCAGCCGGGCGCGATTGGCTGTCTGCGCGAGGTTTCAGCACTGGACAGCTCCCAGCGGGCGGGCGGGCCGGCG